TGATGTGCCCTGGCCCCAGCCCCTGCACCCAGCCGGAGCAGGGAGTGACGTGTGCCTTCCCCCGGGATGTCCCTGCGGCGGAGGGGGCCAGCTTCCCTCCCTCCTGGAGTCAGGCAGCGCCCAGAGCCCAGCACGGCACGCCCAGCCAGGAGCGGGCAGCCACGGCCACCCCATCCCAGCCGGGGCAGGAGTTGGGGGTCTCCTCAGCTGTGCTGCTCCTCCAAAGGGCTGATTGCACCCGTGCAGAGCAAAAGCCCATCTCCTCTGAGAGCAGCTCACGCTTGGAAGCCTCTGGGAAGGTAATGGTTTCTCTATTTCCTCTCCTTCCCTTACGAACACCTTCCCCTGACTGGCGTGTGAGCGTGGGGCTTGGTTTCTGGTGGCCACGCTTGCCGAGCGTGCCGGGTGCGTGCGCAGCCCTGCTCGTTCCCAGAGACCTTGCCTCAAGCCGCACGTGGACCAGCCGTGACTCAGCCCACCACTGCCCCTGCTTCCCTGGCCTCGAGGATGAGGATGAGGCCGTGGTGAGGTAGTGATGGGCAGCTGGCTCCTGCCACGCAGGGAGCGACGGAGAGGGCAGGAGCGAGCCAGACCCTCTGTCCCAGATGGGTTCAGTGCTCGGTCACTAGCTGCACCCGATGGAGCGCCAGCCTCTATCTGGTGCAGACTTTTTGGGTACGGGATGACCATCAGCAGCCCATGAGAGGGCTTTTTCCTTTCCTACCTGGTGACAGGCTGCAAGGCAGGGGCTGACAGGCTGGGAAGCCTTGCCAGAGTGGCATATGAGGTGTGTGGCAGGAAAAGAGCAGGAGCTTTCTGCTGTGCCCTTGGATGTCACCCTGTGACTGAGGGGTGGGCAGGACTGGCTTTGCTCTCTTGCTCTGGAGCTTTCTTCTCACCCGACGGTGGTGGCACCCATGATCTCAGGCAGCAATGGAGACCCTGCCGTGCCGAGCGCTGCCCAAAATAGGTGGACGCCACTCAAATTACAACCTTCTCTGCTTGGATTTATGGCTGCCTGGGCCTCATGTCTTCATCCATAACATACAAGATGTTGGGTGGGAAGGAAAAGGTGTTTCCCCACTTTGAGGACGTGCTTACTGAGTGCTGCAGGGGCCACAGAAACCCTTAGACCAAAAGATGCCATTGGTGAGGAGCTGGAGGCTCCTAATGGCTTCGATGGAGAGGAGAAACCCAGCCGTAAATCACTGCCAAAAGTCTTAGGGAGGGAGGAGGATGGTAATGGAGTTTGCTGTAGCTGGCTGGCAAGAGCAGGTCTGAGAGAGCACCTGCTGAATGCCGCAGACAAGGGACAGCATGTGCAGGGAGAAGAACCAAATGGTGTCACAGGTAGGGGCCTCAGCCCCAGGAGCCCTTCTGAAGTGGCCTCTGGGCTTTGCCAAGGCTGCGTCTCCTTGCTGGCTGCGGTGCTGGCATGGAGGTGGGTCCAGAGAGGGATGGAGACAGGGAGGGCGAGGGGTGGGGTGGAGGGCGTGAGGGGAGGGAGGGGAGAAATGTGCTCTTGGAGGTGCAGGAGGAGAGCGATGGGCACCAGGAGGCATGGGGGAGGCGTTCAGTGGGGCATGGAGAGGTCCCTTGGTGTCTGGGGGCTTCACGGCGTCAGGGGCAGCGATGCCGCTGGCGTGAGAGTGGAGATGGTCGCACCGGTGAGTCTGCCACAGCACCGCAGATCTCCCGCCTGCTCCCTCCGTCCTCAGGCGCATGCTGGGGGTGCAGGCAGAGCCAGGGCTGCCCGAGGGCTGTGCCCCCACCCGAACCCTGCCCACACAGCCCGGGTGCCCTCCATCCCCATGGGCAGTGGGGGAAACCAGCCTCAACGGGCTGGAGCTGCTGCTGCTAAAGGGGAGTCTGCCGGGACAGAGCAAGGCAAGCTTATCCTGATGGGGGCTGGCAAAGCAGCCCGAAGGCAAACGGCAGGATCTATCCCCAGTGCCTGTGCAGAGACCTGGCGAATTCATAGCATCTTTGGCCTGCTCCCAGTTCCAGACTGAGCTTGCCTGCCCTGCTCAGGGAGGCAAAGGCAGTGCCGGGCTGTCCCGGCGAGCTCAGAGAGGGTGTCCGGGGCAGAAGAGAGAGACAGTGGGATGGAGAGAGCAGAAAATGGGGAGAGAAAAGATGCCTGCCAGGTCGGGGCATGGCAGAAAAGAGTCAGGGTGTTTGAGGCAAGGATGAGCGGCGCACGTATCTTCCAGCTTGTACATGCTGTTGTACGTCTGTGTTGTACGTATCTTCACACCCTTAACCATTTCCAGCCTCCTCCCGACCCTCAAACGCGAGACGGCTTTATTTTCTCCCTTCAGCAAAGGCTCATTTTCAAAACACCCGTGTAAGCCCTTTACCCTGGGGCCGCAGCCGCCGCTGCCTCAGCACGCCGGTTTCCAGCATGACCTCTGGGTGGCATCCACAGACACGCGAGTGGGGCTGCGCCCGCCTTCCCCTCCGTCATTGCTTGTGGCCTGTACAAACGCTTTTATGGAGTGGGATGAGCTGGACTTTTCTTACGTCGGGCAACGGAGAACACAAGCTTCTGTCAAGGCTGATATTAATTAATTAGATGCAGGCACTTAGAAGAGGATGCCGGTTCACAAACCAAGGTGAAAAAACTGAAACCCCCATTTAGCGGAGAGGAAAGAAAGGTTTCTTTTCAAGATTTTCAATTTTTTCCTGGAAGAACTGGGGCGGATGTCTGGTTGATTGCTAGCTTGTCTGATCAGTTTGATTTAGCTGTTACAGGAATGACAGCTAAATCTCCCCATCTCATCAAAGCGCAGAATTTAAAAACTCACTTCAATTGTACTAAAACCAACCCCTAAACTGCCACGGTTATATATCTCTAAGTCATTTCATACACTTATCGCCTCCTCTCACATCCCTGGCTGGGTGCCCAGGAAGGATGGCAGCAGAAACCAATTTTCTTCTCCCTTGACGCATCCCTCGCGCTTGGAGCTCGGTGCAAAGCTGGGCAAGTGCCGCCGGGCTTCCGCGCCCCGTCAGTATTTAAGCATTTAGTACCTATCGAAGGGTGTTGCTTTCTTTTGAAAGCACTTTGTCTTCGCGGGCCACGTGTAACAGGCTCAGAGGATAAAAGTACAGAGGTATTTCTCTGGCCCTCACCCACTTCTTTCCCTCGCGCGTGTAAGACAGCCCCAGCCACTACTGCAGCTGTAGCCTGGCTAGTGCAGAAGTTGCCCCAATGGCCATGTCGGTACCCCGGTTTCAGCATCTCAGCAGCCATCTCTCCGTTTTCTCACACCTGCATCTTTTTAAAAAGAGGTTATATTAAAACCTTGGCTGTTTGGTGATGGTAGAAATCTCCCACCCTCACCACAAATGTGGTTGTGGGGGCCTGGGTGGTGCAGGAGAGGCAGGTTGGATGGGAATCTCCCCTGTTCAACCCACATCCCCCAGCACCTTTGCTTTTCCTTCCCCTTCCAGGAAACTCCCTTTCATCCCAACACATCAGTTTCGGTCCACTGATTTTTTTTTTTTAAGGTCTGTTCTCCTCTTACATCGGGGGGTTAACCACAGGCATCTCGGTTTGGATGAAGGCAGTCTTTCTGTCCATAATTCTTGCTGCCTTTCATAAATAATTCCACGTAGCAGGCTGAGATGGCTGGGCTCACCCCACACGTCTCCATGGCTGGTGACCATGGAGGGGCCAGCATTTCCCAGCATCGCTGGCTGATGGCACTTGTGCAGTCCTTTCCCGCTCCTGTGCCTGTCGGGGCTGGGCTGTGAACCAGGCCAAGTCAAATTACCTGGTTTCAGCCTTGTTTGGGTTTTCAGCATCTGTGTCCAAGCCTTTTGCCAAGGTCAGCTCTGTTGGAAAGGTTGGTGTCCCCCAGTGAGACGTTGTGGGACTCGCACGAACTCCTTGAGGCTGAAGCTGTAGTGTAACTTGCTGGTTTCCCTGTCCCAGATTTCACCTTCCAGAAGGAGCTCTTTGCTGCCAGAGACACAGGTAAACTGAGCGGACCATGGCACAGGCTTTGTGGGGTAGCCCCCTCTTGGGGAGGTGCTTTGGGGAGGCCAGTGGGACACGCCTGGAGCATACAATAAACCTTGGTTCTTGGCCCTGCAGAGAAGGGACCATCGCACCCTGGCCAAAGGGCTGACCCCAGACCTGTCCATGTTCCTCTCCCTGCAGCCTCGTGTCTCTCTCCGTTGCTCAGTGGGGACGTAAAAAGTGCCTTCAAAGAGCTGCTGGGGGAAGGCTGCAATGGCAGAGAGAAACCCCGTAATGCCGGGAGATTTTCGAGCACTGGCCATGAGCAGTGCTGGCCTGGGAAACTGAGGAGGCAGCAAACGCTGCCAGCATGGGCCGGCAGGTATGATACTCTCCCTTTCTGTCCCCGCTCTCCTTGCAGACCCCATGCACAACCTCTCTGCTCAGCCCTGGCAGGTGAAGATGGCCAACCTGACCTATGACAACTTCACCCTGGGTAACCGCTCCGAGGTGGCCATCCAGCCTCCCGCCAACTACAAGACGGTGGAGCTGGTCTTCATCGCCACGGTCACTGGCTCGCTCAGCCTCGTCACCGTGGTGGGGAACATCCTGGTGATGCTGTCCATCAAGGTGAACCGCCAGCTCCAGACTGTCAACAACTACTTCCTCTTCAGCCTGGCCTGCGCGGACCTCATCATCGGGGTCTTCTCCATGAACCTCTACTCGGTCTACATCATCAAAGGCTACTGGCCGCTGGGGGCTGTGGTGTGCGACCTGTGGCTGGCCCTGGACTATGTGGTGAGCAATGCCTCTGTCATGAACTTGCTCATCATCAGCTTTGACCGGTATTTCTGTGTCACCAAACCCCTGACCTACCCAGCCAGGAGGACCACCAAGATGGCGGGGCTAATGATTGCAGCTGCATGGATATTGTCCTTCATTCTCTGGGCCCCAGCCATCTTGTTCTGGCAGTTCATTGTGGGCAAGAGGACAGTCCCTGAGAGGGAATGCTACATCCAGTTCCTCTCCAACCCAGCGGTGACCTTCGGCACAGCCATCGCTGCTTTCTACCTTCCTGTGGTCATCATGACGGTGCTGTACATCCACATCTCCCTGGCCAGCAGGAGCAGGGTGAGGAGGCACAAGCCTGAAAGCAGGAAAGAGAGGAAAGCCAAGTCCCTTAGTTTCTTCAAGGGTCCGCTGATCAAACAGAACAACAAGTCCCCCAAGAAGGCTGTGGAGGTGAAGGAGGAGGTGAGGAATGGGAAAGTGGATGACCAGCCCTCAGCACAGACAGAGGCCACTGGCCATCAGGAGGAGAAGGAGACTTCTAACGAGTCCAGCACGGTCAGCATGACCCAGACCACGAAAGACAAGCCCACGGCAGAAATCTTGCCAGCGGGGCAAGGACAGAGTCCATCCCATCCCCGGGTGAACCCGTCTTCCAAGTGGTCCAAGATTAAAATTGTCACCAAGCAGACTGGGACTGAATGTGTCACCGCCATTGAGATCGTTCCAGCTAAGGCAGGAGCCTCTGACCACAATTCCCTGGCCAACAGCCGCCCAGCCAACGTTGCCAGGAAGTTTGCCAGCATTGCCAGGAGCCAAGTACGGAAGAAGCGCCAGATGGCAGCCCGGGAGAAGAAAGTCACCCGGACCATATTTGCTATCTTGCTAGCCTTCATCCTCACGTGGACGCCATACAATGTGATGGTCCTCATTAACACCTTTTGTGAGACCTGTGTACCTGAAACAGTGTGGTCCATCGGCTACTGGCTCTGCTATGTCAACAGCACCATCAACCCAGCCTGCTATGCCCTCTGCAATGCCACTTTCAAGAAAACGTTCAAGCACCTTCTCATGTGCCAGTACAGGAACATTGGCACAGCCAGATAAACTGGCACTCAGGGACCACTTCAGCAATGTTATGGAAGCCCTTCCCTTTGCCTCCTTCGCAGGGGGGTCCTCTGCTCCCCACTCACAACAGTGCAGACTGTGCAGTAATTGCAGATGATGCCCTTCGTTCAACATTGACAAAGGTCCAAGGTACCTCTGAGCTGCAGCTCCTTCTAGTCACCCTGGGCCTGGAGACTAGCTTGGGGAGCCAGTGGGAAAGCTGGAGGCAAGAGGAGGAGATGTGGTCACCAGGAGCCCTCCCCAGCTCCCTGCTCTTGAGAGGTTGGCCAAATGGCGTCAGTGTTTGCCCCAAGACTGGATGCCTCTTCTACCCCTGGCTGACCATCTCCAGGGCATCAGAGCTTGTCTGCATGCAGCCAGCCTAACGCTGGATGCTTTCAATAGGCTTTTAAACCAATTATTACCCAAGAAAGTAAAAGAAACCAGGGCCAAACATTTGCCAGCCATTTTGGACCAGGCTGGCTTGGGCGTGCTCATGGGACTTCCTGCTGGCCCAGCCAGGTCCCCTCCCAAGGCAGTCAAGATGATGTGGCAAGCTCCTTCCTTTCCCTTGAGAGACCCATCGTACATCCTCATCCAGCGACCTGGGGGGGAAGTTTTTCCCTGGGCTTTGGATCTGCTCTCCCCTTCGTGCCCTTCACACCCTCGGCTGGACAGACAAACCAACAAACCAAGCATGTCACTCCTGGGCGAGGAGCGTGAAAACCCAGTCACCTCCTGCAACAATGGAACTAAAACTGCGAAGAAAAGCAGTGGTATGGTGCAGGACTTCACAGCCCCAGGGGAACATGGTCCCTGTGAAGTGGGCAGCAGCAGCGGTGACAATAACTGACGGGGGGAGCTGGGGGTCTCAGAGGGGGTCGGGGACGATGGTCTGCAACATGGCTGAGGTGCCCTGTGTCTCATCTGGGCCACGAAGCAGTCACCACTCTCCCCATGGCGGGTGTGC